TAGATACCCTCCAGTGAAGTTTGCAGAGCCTTAATTTGGATTTCATCTGAATTCCATCAAATTCTATAGAATACAGTTCAAGCCTACATTTTCCACTGGGGCTTTGACCAGGAAAATTTCCTTGGGGACGTTTGCTAGAGGAAAGCATCATCTCTCTAACAGATGCTATAACTCTAAGTCTCACACTGAAAATGTTTCAGACAGCATGTGGCTCTTGGGAGATTTCAGTGACAGAACATGGGAAATGAAAGTGGATGTAAAGATGCAACAAGAAGATGCAAGAAGAGCAAGGTTGTTTGCAGTGGACCGAGACCTATTTGCATTAGTCAGACCGGTGCCTGTCAGTCTAACATGATGTTAGTGTGCCAGGGTAGACAACCCGTTTGGAGCCTGGAGGCTCATTCATTTATTCTACTGGCACCCCAAAATGCACGGTCTTCTCCATTATGCCAGCTTTGAATCACGGTACTGATTTTATATCCTTTGCATCTGGCCCAGTTTCTGTTCTCGGTTACACCACAAAACCTTTGGAATAATTCCTTTCGAGCCAGGAAGATTACTGTGGATTAATGCCAAAGGCAGCAAACTATGGCTCGTGATCTTTGACAGAGAAAACATATACATAGCATCGAACTACACTGCCACTCCTCTTTGTGAAGTGGATCATTCTAGATTTTTGTCTCACTCTGAAAGGGCCCAGGATACCCATCAAGGGAGCTAAGAGCCACCCTTTCATGTAATCATCCCTCCTCTCAAAATCTTTCCCAATAAGAAGCTTCAAGGACTAAGTTACATTAATTTGAATGAACAGTAACTAGGGCCTGAGACTTCCAGAAGCTCTTCAGCCCCCATAATAACTGCTGAAGACAATGGGAGTTGCAGATGATCAGCAGAAATTGGTTAAAGGGTTTAACAGAACTGCTCTTTTACAGGGCTCTAGCCCCAGACCCACAAACACTTCTCCCCTGCTGTCTTTTAGCAGTCACAGATTGAAAAAAACCCCAAAAGCTACAACTTGCACACAAGTCCCCAAATCACCCAATAGCTGTGGTTTATTGGTACAGCTCCATTGACTCTCACGCCTGGGGAATTTTAAGGGCAAAGTCCTACACTGGCATCTGCAACCGAGATTTCATCTCTCTGCATAAGCTTCACCCTCTGCAGATTTCTGCTGCGTGTTTTGCTCCTGCTCTCCACACCAAATTCCCCTTGGCACAGGCAGAAGTTCTAAGTGGAGACAAAAGGAATTTTTACAGTACAGAGGGGCAAGAGATCCGAAAGGAACACATTGCCTAAAATTCCCAGCATCACAACTACATAATTTTTACCTGATTTGTGTTTTTCAATTGCAACATGACCACAAGATATAAATGCAGCATAACTCACATCCCTCTACACATTTTCCTCTAGTGTGTTTTCCTGTTTCTTTTTTTTTTTTTAATTTTTTTTTTTTAAATCAAGGAAATAACAAACTTGATCTCATGCTCAGAAACTTGAAAACTTTAAAAAACCTGTCCTCCCAGAACACTCATCCTGTCAAAGAAACAAAGGCAGTGGGGGGAAAACGAACGTGTATCCGAAGTCTGTGTTCACTGGAATTTGGATCTCCCTGGAGCTCATGGCTATTCTTTTTGAATGAAGTCATCTGCTGCTGAAAGGCTTAATATCACTACTGAATGAAATTTTCTACCTGGACAGACTTATTAACTTTTCTTCTGGGAAATAGGAGAAAAAACAACACGGAGGCCTTGTGAAGGAGAAAGCCAGAGAGGGATGGACGTGCAAAGACATCCCCATCCACCCCACAAAGCTCCCGTCCCCAGAGGCCACTCAGACCAACGCGTTGCTCTTGCTTGGCCAGAGCGCACGGAGGCGAGCAGAGATGGAGGGAGAGTCTTTTACAAGGCACCCGAGACCTCGCTCTGAACTCACTCTTGGCGCTGGAAGTTTTCTTTCTTCCCGGCTTCGTCTTCCTTCCTCTCAGTCCATACCATTTGCCAAGGGTAGGTGTTCAACGGACGACTCATCAGGCCAAGCCTCCACCGGCACCTAGACCTACTTCTACTTCACCCCACTGCAAGACCTGCTCTGAGGCGAGTGAAATCATTTTGGACCCAGCAAAGTGGTCTCCCTCACATCCTCTGACAGCCAAAACTGCAAGGAGACCACCACAGCTGGCCAGATGGCAATTCTTTCTATTAGGATAAAAATGGGATGCCACAAGCCAGCTCAGACACTTGGCTGGACCAGCGCTGCCTCGCAGCCTTGCCTGCTGGGCTCTGCTTCTCCCAGGGTTGCTTTCAGCTAGGAGATGCCCCTCTGCAATAGCCCTAGACAGGGAATTCAGAAACACTTGAGATTTAAATAAAGAAAACGTAGAAGCGCCGAGGCTTTCCTCAGCACAAAAAATTAATTCTCTCCACAGCTATACCCTTTAATGAAATGATCAGTGACCTGACGAATGTCAGGTCACTAGTTTCCAGTACAAAAGGCTGTGCGCTGGTTTAAAAAAGTGTGGTTTTTTCCAGCTACTTTCTCTCTATAATGAAGGAATAGCACTGAAAGTACCTCCCACCATATTCTCCAAGGGCACAAATAGACATCACTCCCCTAAAGCCAAGATACACTTATACCTGCCAGCTGGGGAGCGGGTCCATCACTGGGAAACAACTTCACTACATCTGCACGTGCACACACACACACACACATTTGTATATTAAAATATAATTTTTATACATATTTAATTATATTTTAATATATATTTATATGTTAAACCTATATAAACCCACAGAGGCTGGTCATACTTCTCTAACATACTCAATCCTGAATGGTTCTTTATCTTATATATGCAATTTATTTTTTATATATATAATTTATTTTATATATGTTTTCATATATTTTTATATATAATTTTGTATATATTCAGATATATATAAAAACCCACAAAGGTGGGCGCATATTTGTCTAATATATCCAACCTTGAATGGGTCTTTATTTTACTATAATAATCTTATCCTGCTCTCCCTTAAAAAAAAAAAAAAAAAGACATCTTTGTAAAGGTACACAGTCATTTCTATGCTATCAGTACAGAGGATAAGTTATTAAGGAAGTGAGCATCAGAAATTATCCTGTAAAGTCAAGGCTGTGGATTTTAACCCTTTCAACCCTGCCAGGTCTGAGCGGCTGTATTTATATATTCCAAGTGTTTCTGTTCACTGTGTCATCCACTATGACCACAGGCGTGCATAAAAATGCCAAGCAATTTTTAGCACAAGCTCAGCATGGCTAGATGCCATGCTCTTCATATGGCATGAAGCCCTTCTAATAGTCCTCACTGTTTTACCTCCTCCCTCCCGCTCCAAAAAACCCCACGATGAATGTAAACCTTCAAATCTTTCCATTGACTGTAATGAAAGGGTAGTTTAGCAGCAAAAATGTGTGGGGGACATCGTTACTCAAGTTCCAGCAGAGGTTGGAAGGCTGGCACAGGAGGGAGGGGGAGAAAAGCTATTTCAAGTGGTAGTGCACCCATAAATAAATAAATATTGACATATGCCAGGATCTGTGCTGTCGTTGGAAAGGGCAGGCAGGGAACACAGGGCACATTCAGAAGACCACAGAGATGATTTAGATTGAGAAGAGTAAGTGTTATATATACATTTTTTTATATATACATTTTTTTATATATATATAGGCTTTTCTGGGTCTGAGCCTGAAAATGTTTGTACACAGGAGTACATTTGCCCATTTGAGTAGGGTTGCGGGAGTAAGCGTTTCCAGGATTACAGGCATTATTTGTTGCCCGCCGGCACGATTTGCACAGCTACGGAGAGCCATGCTCAGGTCACCAGCTATGGCAACCAGGAGAACTCCTGCACGTGCACTCCAGCCTGCAGTGACCACCTACAACCAGCTTTGGGGCGGGCGATGGAGAGAGTCCTCCCCGCAGAAGGTCACAACGCAGGTCCCTACAGATGTCCACTGAGAGCCAGCTCTGCTGGTCCCGGAGAATAAGGGATCTGAGTCACTTCTGCCCTCCTGGATGGAAAATGCTATATTGAGCATCTACATCTGTCTTCGGTATAATCATGGGTATGGCACTGTTCCTGCAAAATATTTGCACCAGGAAGCAACTTGATACGTGGACGAAGTTCCAAGTGAAGGGAAAGGCATGAAGCTAATTACTGGCAGGACCTGGCATTTAGAAGAGGACTTTGAACAGGATTTTTAAACAGGGTTTAGGCTTGATTTTCAGCTTAAGTACTTACATCCAACACTGCGATTCAAAAAGGCCTCTTCAGCCACCTGGCCCTGGAGATCCCAACATTTTCTAATACCTTCCTTCTTCAACCTGAAACCACCACATTTACGCTCCTGCTCTACACATCCAGAACCGACCAGGCAAACACTCCCCTCCTGCCAAAGACCCTCCGAAAGCCAGAAACCAGCACAAAACAGGTCTCCACACCAACATCTCCAGAGGCATCTGGAGCATCCTTAACAAACCTGCTCCCAGAACAAGGCTGCGAGCTTGGTTTTTAAAGCACTGTCACCTAGGGAAAAAACACCCAACAGCTCTTCTGCAGTAGCCTGATGACCAGAGCTTCTCGGAGCTAGTCCAAGTCTCTTGTTGCTTTAAACAGGTTTAAGCGCACATGCAGCCGCAGAGACATGTGTTTAGCACAAAGCTAGAGGTTGTTCTGGATGGGGACATGTCAGAAAGAAATACAAGGTCCCTGCAGCCAAGAGGACAACCCACACGTGAGATCCTGCCTCTGTAACCCAGCAGTTAAGGCGTTCACCTGGGAGTGGGAATGCCTGGATTTTGGCCCCACGTCCTGATGATATTTCAACAGCTTGCCATAAAATGTACCTGCAGGTGCCAGAGAAGGGACTGCCACTAAGTCCTGGCTTAGCTCAAGCCACCAGTGACATGCAAAGCAAAGCTCAGGCAGCCCTCGCGGTCCTGAGCGGGTCCCCACGGCGGAGGCACAGGTTACCTCTGCATCCTGGACATCCTGTGGAGCTCCATGTCGTCGCTGCCGCGGAAGCCTTTCGCAAAGGGGTTGTTCTCAATCTTTAACTGGGTGATCTGAAAGGGAGGAAATGCAATGGGTTCATCACAAGTCCAAGGCACGGCCTGGGAGGGGGGGGGATATTGTTTATTAAACCCAAGCCAATAGGGATGGGGGGGAAAACGCAGCTTTCAGAAATTCAAGTCATCCTTCAGCTCAGGCATTGACCACTCCAGATGGGCCTTCCTCTAGATCTCTCCACTGGAAAAATATCTCCTGTCAACAACCTCTCGCTTCTCTCAGGCTTGTCCCATGACTAACTCATGGGATTGCACATACGCACACACACGCAAATTTGTCTCTGGAGGAAATCTGCTTTCTTAGAGTTACTTACTTTCTTTTTGCTGTTCTGACAGAAAGATGTGCACTGACCAGAGGACCAGGGATGAAAGTCATATTGCTTGAACAAATCCCACTGACGCCAGCAAGTATTTTCTCATCAATGTGCAGACACGACTGAAACCTTAAATCTCAGACCAATAAGGCTCACCCTTTCTGTATTTCAGACCAGGTAAATGTATGTACTCCAGGTGCTCTGCATCTGACATCCTTCCCCAACCAGCCCCACACCTGTAAACACTACATGGACTAACTACCCAAGGCACTTGGAGGGCAGCTCCACCTCTGACCATCGTGCCCTGGAGGAATATTTGTCTCTCCATTAATTCTAGAAGGAATTAAGAGGGACTAGTTTCCTCGCTTAGCTGGCTACCTTCAGCATTAAAAGTTTGCTGGGATGAATCCCTCTCAGACTCCTAACTTTGGTCCTCTTACAACATCTAAGCTAAACATTTAAAGCAGCGGCTGTACAGAACATACCCCTACCCAAAGCAACTCTGTTGTTCAGAGACGCAATCCTCTCCTTCACGTACCTCTCCTGAGGGCTTCAGTGAGTAGGTTTTCTCAAGCCAGGGGTTGTCATTTAAGCAAATATTAACTGTGGACCAGCAACACCCTCAAATGCCCTGCTGATCTTGTACAAACTCACTCTGCTGTGCCAAATTTGATGCAAATGCTTCGGTGTCTTTGCAGAGCAGGACTGAGTCTGGATCAGGTGTGGTCTAGCTGCAATGCCCTAATATTCAGGCAGAAGCAGCACCAGTTCTCCCTTTCTTCTCTTTCTCCGTCGCTGCCTGGCAGTCCAAGCCCTCAGCCAGGAGTCGGGAGAGCCACTTGCCCTTGCCCAGAAGAAGAGACAACCCTGTGTTTGCCATTGGAGGAACTTCACGAGCTCACCGCATTTTATGGAAACGCTGTCCTTCCTTCCTATTGAAAGTTGGCCAACGGGAAGGAAAGAGCTCGAGATTAATGACAGGAGAACAGAGAGAGGTTCGTGTTCACCAAGTCGAGCACACACAACTGGACTCACCTCTTTGCCAAAAATCGAAGAGAAAAATCTGGCTCGGCTCATGTCAATAGCAAACTCCGCCAGGTGTCTGCACGACCAGATTGTTTTGCTATTTTCTTGTCTTATAGCATATTTTTTTCCAAAGGCCATTTGTTTATTTGCCATTTTTGCCTAATTTGGCTCCAAATCTCAGGCAAAGACCCCACCACCCCTACACTTGTCCCTATGGGCATTCCCATTAAATCAGGACCTAATTTAGTACATAAACAGGGCATTGCGCTTTTTTGTCACGCATTTCAGATTTCAAAGAGAAGGGTAAACAAACAATCTATTTGGTCCAATTTGCCATTTGAGCTGTTTTCTAGCAGTAAAACAGGGGCGCATTTTATGATTAAAAGCCCTGAATAATTAGACAACCAGCCGTGTATTTTGCAAAGAAACTGTGTTATCGGTTTCCACCGGCGAGGTGGTGGCACTTCTATAATGAATAATAGGCATTATTCAACTTTTTTAATGTTTCTATGCAATTTGCGTTCTGAAGCACGCTAAATGTACAAGTTGTCCTCACTTGCCGAACCCAATGGCAATATTTGCTTGCATAAGTGAAGTCCTTCACTAAGCGAGGATTTACAGTATTGGCACCAGCACACAAATGTACAAAGGGCCGGATTCATCCCAACCTAACCGAAGGCATTTTAACCAAGGCGCCTGCACTGGGAACCTCGTCTCCCGGTGTTCCTGCTGGAATCAATGGAGGGAGATGGGGACTGCCAGAGGGCACTGGGGCTCTGAGGTGGGTAGCGTTGCCTTCGCAGGTCCCCAATGCTCTCCATTCACCGGAGAAGGAGCCATCAACACGCTAGCCCCTGATTTAAGGACCTCAGATGAATCAAGCCTTTAATCACCCACAAAATGTCGGACAAAATATCGTACGGGAACTCAATCTCGCAAATACGTTGGTTTACGAGTACAGAAGTCCCCTAACCCACATCGGGAACACTCTTACAAGCAAAGAAAGGTATTAACTTATGTGGTGGTGGCAGAAAGCCCCAATGTGGCTAACTTCAGCCTCCTTAAAATTAGAGATCTGCTAGATTGAAGGCACCTAGAAACCAGGGACTACAGGAGGTTTTAAATTAGCTCTCAGCATTCTGGTGTACTTCAGATGCATTTCAGCAGGAGCTTTCAGAACAATGTTTCCCTGGATGATAACTCACGGCATCAGCCCTAGCACTAAGCCAGGAGAGTCCAAGCCAAATTTAACAAAGCCGTACACAACAAAACAGAAAATAGAGAAAAAGTTGGTGAATCCCTGCTTTAGAAAACAGCCTGTGGAAGATATTTTGTTTGGCCGGTTTTTGTCTGACTTACAAACTATTTCAGAGGTGGTAAAGCAAACGAATGGGTGGAACTAACCTTCTTCTGGATCAACTTTGCCTTAGCGAAACTCTGTTTAATTGACTGTAACTCATTGGGGTGGGAAAGAAAAAGCTGTCAGAAAGTCAAACGACAATTACATCATGAAAAATAAAAAAAATACAACGTCCTGCAAGGTCATTAAGACAGAGTGCCCAGGGCTAAATTATATAGCACAGATTGCATAAAACTGTAGGGCTTTGTTTATGTATTTGTTACTGAAAGAAATTGATGGCAAAGTTCTCTTCTGACCACCGATTTCTAAAGCTGCTGCAGACCCTTCTGAGACAACAGCTTTCCAGGGTGAAGCCTCCCAGATTTACACTTTTCAGGGCTTGTCTGACCTATGGGTTCATCTTCACTTTAACGGGAAGCGACAGTTCCAAATGAAATCTCAGCACCGCTCCTCTGCACTCCTTTCTCTGGGCTAACTGACCACAAAGCAATTCTGCTGAGACATTTCCAATGACATCTTAAGGTCCACCATAATAAAACTCAGCTTTGCGTCTAGTTAGGTCAAGGAAAGATGCGCCTTTTTTTTTTTTTTTTTGCACAGTCATGTATTTATATGGGTATTTGTATCTACAGGCTCATGAATATTATTACGGCCAGGGACAAAACTACCGCTTAGTATTACTTTTTTGTCAAGCACTTGCCATAATAAGATTTTTTTCAATTGCTTCTAACTTTGCAAAACTTTGTTAGGGCTGCAATGTTCCACACCAGGTATATGCCCTCGTTTCCATTTTATTTACTTATTTTGCTATCAACCAAACTGGTCCCACTTTTTTTTTTTTTTTTGAGCACTTCAGCTAAGGGAAAACACGCTACCCTGACCCTCTTGGGCTCTTCTGGAGGCACTTCTGAAACCATCCTAAAGGCTGGGCATTCTGGAAAAGGGACTTCACATTCTGCTAGGGATGGGGATCCCTAGTTTCTGAGCTCTCTTCTTGTGAACATCTGCCCCACTTGGACAACTTAAAAGCCTGAATGGGGAAAAAAAAAAATCACCATTCAGGTCACCCCATTTAGTGACGAAGAGGTCGAGGTGATCACCCTTGAGCTGAGCACACATGGACCTCTCCGTGCTGCGGGGATACGTGCTGTCCCTGCCCCGCAGGTGACCACGGTCCTGCTCAGCGTGCCAGAAATGGGCCAGGACCATCCCTACCACCGCTGCAGCCAGCTGTGCTGGGAGCAATTCTGAGGCTGGAAAGCACAGAGCCTTTTTCTTCTGCACTCTCACATACCGCAGGTGGAAACCAAGGCAGCGTGGAGGAAGAAGCCAAACCGGAGAAGTAGGAAGGAAAGAAAAAGGTGAAGACAAGGTGCCTGCTGAGACTACGTATGGCTGGCTGGCCAAACAGAGGAGCTGGATGGGGAGCTGGGACTCGGAGCCCGAGGTAAAGGCCAGGGGAAGGGGGGGGGCTGCTGGCAGAGGGGAGAAGATGCTGAACCCAGAAGCCAGTAAAGGAAATGGGAGGGACTGAGAGCCAGTAGCTGGTCGGAGGTACTAGTGTGAGACAGAGGGGCTCATTGAGGAGGCTGTTGGCTGAATTGGGAGACAAAAACGGAGGATGAGAGGAGACAGACCTCGCACAGTCTTGGGTTGCGGGGGGAAAGAGGTGGGTTGGGAGGCAGGAGAGAGGCTGGAGACAGGTAGGGTGTCTTTGCAGGGCTTGGGGAGGGGGTCTGGATTGAGGACCAAAAGGGGTCAGGGGCTTGAGGCTGGCTGAGCACCCTGTCCCAGGTCTGGCAGGGACAAGACTGAGGACAAAGGGGCAGAGCAAGACAGGACTGGTTCAGACACAGGTTGTGAAGGACACAAGACCTCTTGAGGGAAGCACTTTCCCACCAAAGCCTGGAACGGGACTAAGCAATTGAGGGGAGAGATACAAGAAGCCCTGGAGAGGGTCAGAGAGGAGAAGAGCTCACTGCGGTCCCCAGGCGACCAAAGGGCTGCACAGAAGCCGCCAGTCCTGGCGATGAAGAGGAGATACATGGTCTCACCTCGCTTAACTCCAGGGAACCCTGCCTCTCTCAGCACTTGGGGGACCCCCCCTTTGGAGAAGAGCTTGCCCCGAGTAAGGAGACGGGCTGCCCCTTCTTGCCACGGAGGTGGGAAGACGTGGGGCCAATGGCCCCATGCTGGGGAGGGAGAGTTTTGGGGACACAGCCCTGCAGGGCTGCTTCAGGGGACTGGACAGGGTCCACCCTCTGCACGGAGGCACTCCATGGGATGCCAGCCGGGCCACCACATTGGTAGCCTCTACTGAAGTGATGGAGGTGGCTACCTGCAACCAAAGACAAGGAGAACTGAGCTCTTAGGGCAAAATATCCCGAACTCAAGGACCTGCCAGCCTCCGGCAGCAGCTGCTCCTACACAACCCTGCAAGATGCCCTCGACAGAGCAGCAAAAGGCCACGTGTTCGGAGGAGAGCCGCACAGGCAGCTCTCCAAAATTTGACAGGTTGGAGCACCAGTTGACTTGGCCAACTCAACAGCCCTCTTTTAGTACAGGGGTCTTTCTTGGGATGGTCAGAAAGCCCACCAGCATGTTTCTCTATGCCCACTGGCTATCTGGGAGTGCATCGGATTAATCTTCAGCCAGGCATTTCTGGGTGCCTATAGCATCCCACCTGGGGCTAAAGTTTCCTTAAAAGAATTTGGGCTACCAAGGATGTTAAATAACTTAGGGAAAAAAAAAAATCAGCATAAAACCGGATATCCTGAGGGGGGAAAACCAATATAAAGCCCAAGTCCAGCTAACGGGGAAAGTAGGTTGTAAAAATTAATGAGAATAATTGTTGTGAATTCTTGCTTTTGAAAGAACCCTCATGAGGGCAGAACCTTAATTATTTCTGTCTATTAGGGTTCATTTCCTGGTCCTAAGCAGAGAGCTAGTACCTAATAAATACGAGCTAGTAACACAATGATTTAAGCTACAGCAAAATAGTACTTAACTGCAGGGGAAGTTAATATTTGGGAATCAACCTGATTGCAAGCACCCATTGTGTAAATGGCAAGGAAATGAAATGTGCATGTGACCTATTTTAACACCTCAATATTTCTGGGGTATTTTTTCAGGGTTGCAGAGAGGGGGGAGGTGGTCAACCGAGCTGCTGACAACCACACTGAAAACTTTACCAAAACTTTCTTCGTAGCTTAAGCCCCCTTTTGGGGAGTAGGGCTGGGGAGGGGGAGATCCCAGTGTGCTTAAATATCTTTTCAGGCTGCCTAAAATATCAGGGGAAATAAGCACAAGCCCTACATTGGGACTGCAGCTGTGCTATTGAAATAAATTGACGGATCTGAAATCAGGCAGGTATTTCTATAAGCTGTGTAAGCATAGACTCAAATGCATTTGTGGCCGAGTCATACAATTAATACTGTAATATAATTCACCTTTAACATAGCTCTGGAAACCTAAAATACGTGCACGTATAAGTTTGTGTGTATATATGCACGCGTGCGTAAAATACACGGGTGTATAAAAACTACGCATAAAATATGTTGGTGTACGCAAACTCCGTGTGGTTGTGCAAATAGGAAATTTTGCATGAAGGATGCGCTACAGGTGATGGGCGGAAGCAAGAGATGGCCGTCAATGTGGAAAAAACAGGTAGCACGCTGACAGAGAGACATGGAGATGGACGAGCAGACCCTCCTTGGGGAGCTCAACGCAGACAGACCCAGACCAGCGGGACCACGATCGTTTGTGGCGACAGGAAACGCAGTCTGCGTTGCGACACGAAAATGCGCTTTGCCGAGCAACATCTCAGCTGTGAAAGCTGAACTCGGGTTTCTGCCTATGGAGAAGACCCCACTTGCCACTCGACGCAGCTGAAGGATGTTATCCCTTGCGCCGAGCCAGCATCTGCAACAGCATCGGCTGCACACCGCCTCAGCCCCAGTATTCTCCATCTGCACTGGGGCAAGCTACAAATTTTATTCCCTTCCCTGGAGGGAGATGCCATTTAGGGTAGATCATTCTCTGGTTTATTTTTATGGCTCTATCTTTCTCAATTGGGTCTTTATCTTGGGGCTACAGCCACTCTTTATTTGTTCCCCTAATGATTCAGTGCAGCGAGAAGAGAAATGCGCGTGTTGGGAGGAGGGATGTAAGTGTATGTAAAATGTGTAGGGGGGTGTGTAAAATATGTAGTGGTGTCTGTGTGCAAGTGCGTGTGTCTGCTGGGATGCAAGCACGTGTGTGTCTGTAGGGATTCATGCATTTGTCAGTGCGTATGTTTTGACAGACACGGATACGCAGATGTCATTTCTTATCAACCAGATGTTGTTGATTTACAATCAAATATTCCTGCTCCTCCTAATATGGCAGTTTTCCCAAACTACTGTACTTACATGTTCCTGCTTTGCTTTTGTTTTATTTGCATGATAATTTCTTTTTCTATAAAACAGTCCTATTTTTCTTCAAAGGAAAGCAGTTAAAGTCAGGTCTGTTTTCTCATAGGGAAATGCCTTTAAAGCAAGCAGTGTGTCCTGTTTTATTAACTCCCAGTTCTATTAATATTATATTCTTTCTCCGAATCCATCAAGCAGAAGTTAAACTTGATTTTATAGCATCCACAGCGGAGTTATAATTTAAGGCATAATTTGGCGAGGACTCAATTTGGATTCAGTTTGCTTGTCCTGGTCGTGCCAACAGCTCCTATTTTAAAGGGCAGGGAAGTATTTTCTTTTCTCCCTAGCTACGGTGAAACACTCTTTCTTCTCCAGTCTACCTCTGCTCTCTGCACCTCCCTTGCCAACTGATGGACGGAGGAAACACAATCATTTCGCGCAGGTTTAGAACCTTCCTACTTACATCCCCAGGAAAGCATTCAGGATTTATCCAGGGTGTTAAATGACCTTTCTCCATTTGAAAAACAATGATTTCACCCTGTCAAGTGCAAAGGAGCCATCCTACCTGCCCGTAAGTACAAGCACAAGCTTGTAGTAATCACTTTCTATGCGACTGGGGGAGGAATTTGCTTTCTTTCCGAAGGAAAATTGGCTTTTCATGGGGCTCTGCCCTAGAGAGGGTCTGCGGGCAGCAGTGAGGGGCAGTTGGCAAAAGGCATCCCTAATACATCTGCTGAAAACTACCCCAGCCCTGAGCCTTCCTCCTCCTCGTCCTCCCTTGCTGGGTGGGGAAGCCGAAAAGCTGAGCAGGGGAAGAAGAGGGGGCAGCAGCCCAGGGAGGCAGAGCAGAGGGGGACAGCAGCGGGACCCACGCGTCTCCACCCAGCGACACCCCAAGAAAAACCTTATTTGATTTTAATTTTTTTTTTTTTTTTTTTTGCTTTTGCTTGGGCAGACGGGGAGCCGATTTCAGGCATAGAGCCTCCCTTTCCTTCCAGGCCCTTCTTGCTGCCAACCCCGCAGCCCCCCGCCGACCTCCCCGCAAGGCCGCCCGCGGAGCAGCCGAGGAAGGAGCCCTTTCCCAAACAAAGGGCCGGAGCCCGGCCAGCCCGGGTTATCAGCGGCCCGGCCACGGAGGGGAGAGCCGGGCTCCCTTCGCCAGATTACAAGTCTTTGACCGATGGCAGGGAGGGGAGAAGATAAAGCCAACTTCCTTGGTTGGTCGTCTCCTCTTTGAGCAAACCATCCTGTTGAGCTAATTCCCTTCGGCTCACCCTAAGCCCCGTCTTTAGATGCTTTTTATGTGTGGCCAGGAATAACAGAGGGGATGGGATGGGTGTGTGGTGAGAGGAAGGGGGAAGAAGGGGAAAGGAGGGGGGGGATAAAAAAGGAAAAGGGGAGTGGGAAAGGAAAAGGGGGAGAAGAAGGCAGGGGGAAAGAGATGGGGAAAAAAGAAAAGGGAGAGAATGGGGGAAAGGGAGAAAAGGGGGGGAAGGCAGAAAAGGGGGGGAAGGCAGAATGAGAAGGGGGAAAAGGAGAAGGAGAAGAGGTGGGGAGAGAAAGTGGGGAGAAAAAAAAAAGGAAAGAAGGGGTGAAGAGAAGCAGGGGAGCCGAGGGCCGCAGGAATTGCAGCAGGAGAAGGGAGAGAGCAGAGCAGGGACAAGGTTTGCCGGTGCGAGGGCCAGCCCAGCCCCTCACCTTGTGGTTTTGGTAGGAGGTGACGGCGATGAAGGCTGTCTCCGGGAAGACGTGGGTGCAGAAGGCCGTGTTCTTGGAGCCAAAGCCGTTGTTCTCGTCTGCTTTCACGATGTGGAGCCGGGGCTGGTATTTGTGCATGGAGTTCAGGATGATCTGGGCAAGGGAAGAGGGAGAGGATATCCCGTGGGAATGGAGGGGGCACAGCGCAGCAAATCCCCCACACACTGCCCGGGGAGAGGAGGAAGAGGAGGAGAGGGGTCTGCAGCTTCTCCCATCCCTTTCCCCAAAGTCTTCACCCTTTTCAGGGCTCCCCCAGAAGGGCTGATTTAGGCACTAGGGTGCTGGGACATATCTCTCAAGAACCCCCCCAAACTAAGGAGCCCGTCAGGGCTGGGTGATCCAGTGCACCACCACGACACAGGCATCTTTGTGTCATTCCCCCCCCAAGGAAGGCAAAGAGGCAAGAAGGGGGGAGGGAAGCAGTGGGATGGAGATTTTCTCTGTGTGTCCCCCACCAGCCACCCGCAGAGGATGGGAGAGGAGAGTGGTGGGGAGGGGGGGAAGATGGAACGCGCTGTATTCAAGATAAAAAGGGGTCCCTGCTTAGTACCAGGTTAATCTCGGGGGAAGGTGGCCGGGGAGGGGGGGACGACACGGGCGGCGGGGGGCCGTTCGGTCACGATAATGACTGCCGGACCCTGGCGACAGCGAGCCACAGCGCGCCCCGCCGCCGCCTCCCCCGTCCCGGGGGTTTAAGCAAATTGCTTTGACATCCAGGAAAGTCGTAGACATCAACGGTGAACGATCTAATGGGGTTTAATTTCATTACAGCGACTCTAATTGAGAGACTCCTGGTGCAGCTCCTCCTCTGAAGTCCCTTATTGTCCCCTCAGTGCCTTCGGTTTGTTTAGAAGGACTTTTCCCCAGAGCCGCCTGGTCGCAGCGGGGGGATGCTTGGCCCCGTCCCCATGTGTGTCCCCCCATCCCGAGACTGGTCCTCAAAAACCAGCCCTGGGGATGGGAGAGGTCCCCCCCTTTGGCCGCGCTACTGCGGAGTTCCCGCTCTCCCTTTCCTCTTCCCAAGGGGGGAGCGGGGAAGGACCTGATCCCTGGAAAGCAGCGCTTGCGACCCAGCTCAAGGCAAAAATAAAGTAAAATAAAAATTACAAGAAGGGGAAAAAAAGCCAAAGAAATCAACCCCCCAGCTGGAGGGGGAAAGGACTGCTCGTAAAAAGATGCTTGGCCTTGGGGTGGGCTGGGGGCCTGTCTGGCAGCTCTCCCCAGCAGCCTTCCCCCCCCCTCACTTCTTAGCGACCACATGTGCGAGGATTTAATAGCACAAGATTTATCATTAAAAAGCGAAGGGGAGAGAAAAAAAAAAATTGGGGGGGGGAAGAAACTGAAGTGTTGAAACGAGACTGGAGAAAAATATGCTCTTGGAAAGGGATGGCGGGATCTGGATTCGCATACCCGCTTAAGTAATTATATATATGTTTTTATAGATATATATATTATTCATACATGCTCATATATATTTGCTCATAGGAACACACATCTTTGGAGACCTTCGAAGGAGGGCTGTTTCTGGCTGCAGAATTCACACAAGCTTTCACGGCCCCACGAGTCTAGCAAAGACCTTTTATGTCCAAGAAGCTCTAGCAGGATTTCAATTTTTTTTTTATTGTCTTTAATTATTGTTGCATTTTTTTCGGATCGAGGGATCCACGTGGGTTTAGGTCCTATTTCCTCAAATAGCTACGCCCAATTGATTTTACCTGTTAGCTAAATTCACAGAGGCAGTGAGCAGATTTTAACGCTCCAAGACTCTCCATGAGGCTAAAACCAGGTCGCTAAACACTCAATTAAGCCGGGTGCGTTTCACCCACTCGTGGACTCCAGTCCCCGGGGTCTGTAATCCATTCCCACGCAGTGCTGTGAAATAGCTCGGGTTTAAGGTTTATGCTTCCATTTTTGGGGGGTCCTTCATTGGGGTTCACCCTATCCTCCCAGGGAAGCAAACAACACCCCACCAACACAACGGATTTGGGGGTGGGTGACATTGCCATGACCTTGGTGGCGCTGGCAGCGGTGGGGAAGACCACGCGTGGACATGCCGTGGGCACGCATGGGGTCCCCGGTAGCCCTCCGTGGGCACGGTGCCGTTCTCCTACCCCTGGTACTTACATGTCCAAAGGGGTCGAGGTGGTTGTTGGTGAGTTTGAGTTTCTGGAAGGAAACCAGCTGCCTCATCCAGTGGGCACCGGTGGCCGGGGAATCAGGGTGCACGTACAGCCGCCCGGGCATGGCCGGCTCTGCCTTCCCCGTCACGGACCTGCGTGGGCACAGAGGCACTGAGCTCCGGGGTGGGGGGGGGGGGCTATCCCGGGGGCCCCTGCTCCGCCACCCACCCATCCCCCCCCGTGGGGGTCTCTCCCACTCGGGTATCCCCGTACGCGGGGCCGGACAGTCACGCCGTGCTTAGGAAGAAAAGGAATTTACAACGACTCCTCGGGGAATTAATTGAGCTCTTTGGCACCTTTCCCGTCGGAGATGGCTCTCGCTGTTTTCCCGTTTAACCCCATCCTTCCCCCCCCCCCGCAATTACCGGCACCCAAGCCAGGAGCAAAGGACAGACCGTGTACCAATCCTCAAATATTATCCTGCCCGGAGATCTTCCCTTTCTTTGCATAATTAAACTCTCGGCTCCACAATAGCCAGTAATCTCATCGTCAAACAGGATTACAGTTATCATTAGCTAATTACAACAGGCTTTTCTCCTTTTTTTGATGCATTTCTCTCCCAAGGAGTGTGGGAGCATCCCCAGAGGCTCAGGTGAAGTCCCTGCAGCCCAAGATCTCTCCTTTGCAGGGCAAAAAGAAGGATGAGCCGCTGATTCAAGGGTATCCCCCAACCTGTGCTACCCAGGTTTGGCCAGCCCAGAAAGCCCAACACAGATTTCCCCTCCCTCCCCTTCCCCCCTCCCCCCGTGCATACCATTTATTATCTGCAAATTTGTATCTGTGATCATCCGCTGGTACAATATCCATCAACAGTATGTACTTAGTTTTTGGATTAAGTCCAGTGACCTTCACTTTGTAACTGGGGAACATACGCCTATTAAAAAAAAAAAAAGTACATAAGTATAAAAGCGGAGAAGGGAAAGTTTTCCAAGGTGGTTTCGTGTGTGTGCGTTTGCGAGGAGGAGACGGGGGGGGGGG